CACACACACACACACACACACACATACACACACACACACCTATATATTTGAAAATTAAGAAAGAGACTTGTAAGCTATTCATGACTTAAAGGGGGAAAATGGAGATTAAAAAAATAGGACTGAATAATGTCTGAATTACAAATTGAATTAGTGACATCAAGCTAAGGTGTTTGCAACAAGATTATGTAAGAAGCAATGAGTACTGGGGAACTGGCTCAGTGGGTAAAGGCACTCACTATGGAAGTGTGAGGAGCCAAGTTTGGAGCCTCGGTATTCATGTCAGAAGCTGGGGCTGCATGCGGCTCTCAGCACCTGTCATCTCCATGCTAGGGATAAAGGGGTGGCAGAGACAGGAGGTCACTGGGGCTTGCTGGCCAGCTAAGCCTAACTGGGAGGTGGAACAAAACCCAAAAATGATAAGCTCCACGTTCAGTGAGAGTCCCATGCGAGGGGAACCGGTGGGAATAGATAGAGAAGGACCTATGTCATCCCTCTCTGGCCTCCATATACATGTGTAAGGATGTACACAGCATACCCCCCCCCCCACACACAAAATACATGCATTACACACACCTGGGGGAGGATGGGGGAAATGTATTAAATTTTATAAATTTAGGAAAAGCAAGTAGGATAACTCAAAGAAAGCACAAGGAAGTAATTTTAAAATAACAACAAAAAGTAATAAAGCAAAAAAAAAAAAAAATGAACTCATCTCATCAGTACTTCCAAAACTGGATCTCTGATTTCTTGGTTTAATTTAGCATGATTCTGGTGAGATCAAGCAAGGAAATATTAAAGATAAAGATTGAGAAGAAAAGCATAAACTATAGATACCATTGGTAGAAGATATAATTAGGTTTTGTGAAAATTTTCTGCAAATAAATATGAAAATTTAGTTGCAATGTAGAATTCTTAGTGGGAAAAATGCCTGCTTTATATGGTTTAGCTCATGTTTTATAATGGACATCAAAATAGAAATAATTCAGTGTTTCAGAAAAGTCCTTAGAGCACACTAAAGCAAGCACCCATAGATAAGTGTGCCACAGCCAAGAACAACAGCACAGATGGGAGCAGAACAGAATGCTCTTACCCAAAAACATAGATGAAATCATGAAAGAGTATTGGCAAGCTGAATGCATTAACATTGAATGACATTGTATGTCATGACTAAATGAAATTTTCCTAGAAATACAAGGAATGGGTAATGTTGAAATTCCATTGATGTCACTCATTACAATAACATCTTACAGGGGGAAAAGCATGGGATGGGGCAGAATATTGGATAATATTAAGCATTCTTTAATGATTTAAAGAAACTCTTGAAATGATTTTAATAAAAGAGAACTTTCTCAAACCTAAAAGCACATCTTCAAAGATCTAATTACTACATTTGTTAGTAAGCAAGATCACTTTTCTACATGTGAAAATCAGATGTCAAACTAAGTGATGAAATGCTGAAAAATTTCCCCTTGAGCCCTAGAACAAGACAGTCCCTTCTTTCTGAGTGGTCTTTTCATGTGGCTTGTGTGGATTTCCACATAGAGGAGTTGTCACAGGTTGTTGGCTTGGTACCATGGTAGTAGGATTTCAGCAGTGAGCAAAGGCTTCCAGTTGGGACTGTCACAAGGTGGCTGGACTCATGCCATGCTGGCTTTGAGTATGGGGACAGAGGCTGACAGTTGTATTCTAGGCTAGAGCAAGAACAGAGGTACTGATATTTTGCCACATTCAGAATCATTGTTCAGTACAAGTTCAGGAGTTAGAAAACAGACCCAGTTTCTAGTTTGTAAGAGGCACAGTTGTGAGGAAGAGAGGAGAAGGAACTGGTGCAAGTCATCTCTGAAGGCCATGTCGACTCATATCAGTGGACAAAAAAATGTACTGAGCTGGTGACATAAAATACTGAGAAAACTGTAGGATAATGGCATATTTACAAGCTACTTGAATAAGAATAGCCCCATAGACACATATATTTGAATACTTTTTTTGTTTGTTTGTTCATTTTTGTTTTCGAGACAGGGCTTCTCTGTGTAGCCTTGATGTTCTGGTCTGTCCTGTGTAACTTTGGCTGGCCTTGGCTAACCTCAAACTCACAGAGATCCACCTGCCTCTGCCTCCCTGAGTGCTGAGATTACAGGTATGCCCCATTGAGCCTGTCTATATTTGAATACTTAGTCATCAGCAGGTGGCAAATCTTGAGAAGAATTAGGAGGCACGGTCTTGTTGGAGAAAGTGTGTCACTGGGGTGGGCTTTGAGGTTATAAAAGTCCAAGCCAGGCCTAGTGTTACTTTCTTCCTGCTGCCTGTATATTGGATTTAGAACTCTTAGCTCTTTATCCAGTACTATGTTTGCCTATGTGCTGACATGCTCCCTGTTATGATATTGGACTTAACCTCTGAAACTGTAAGCAAGTCCCAATTAAATACTTTCTTTTATAAGAGTTGCCTTATTCATGGTATCTCTTCAAGCAGTAGAACAGTGGCTAAGACAAAAGTTGTTATCATGAGCGGAATATTGTTGTGACAGTCCTGACCATCCTGTTTGTTGGAGGAACAGGGAAGACTTTGGGCCTTTGGACTAGCAAAATGGTTGGATGTGTTAAGTAGGGGATAAGTTAGGAAGCATGTGACAATGTGTGCAGTTGGAACTGTGGGATCCCAACTCGAGAAGTGTCAGAGGGGGAGACTATTGGTACGTGGCCAAGAGAGACTGTTCCTGTGATACTTTGGGGAAGAATGTGGCTGCTTTCTGTCTTTGTCCAAAAAAAAATCTTCCTGAGGCTAAGTTGAAGAGTTTGGATTAGTGATGTTGGCAGCAGAGATTTCAAGACAGCCTGGGATTGACTCTGTTGCATGGCTATTAGTGGTCATTCTTTTGCAGACCTATAATGAAAAGGAGCAAGGAAAAATGCAAAATGTACCTTTTGAGGAGAAACCTGGAAACAGGAAGTGGACTAGAGCTACGTTCAGTGCTCAGCAAGAGAAAAAGTTTAAAGAAAGGTCTGATGCTAAGTGGAATGAAGGGAGTGGTGACCTGGTGCAAGACCCTACCCTGCTAAGCTTACAACTTGTGAAAATAAATTAAAAAAAAAATCATAAGTAGCGAAGGAAGTCATCAAGAACAGAAAGTGGATGCAGATGTAGTTGAATGAGGGGGTTCATATTCCAGCCCCAGCAAGCGGCAGAACATGGCTCCTTCAGCCATATGGTTCTGTCTTTAGAGTAAAGGGTACAAGAAAGGGGTTATGGAATCTCTTTCTGAACCTGAGGAAAGGCACTGAGGCCAGGCGTGTGTCAGGGGTGTCTCACCATGGAGGCTTAAGGAGGATGTTGTATGAAGTTGTAAAGGTGAAGCCTGGACTGTGTTGGATGGCAGAGTGGTGAGATACTTGCCAACAGGTTGTATAACAAGCCCAAGAAAATGTGCTACAGTCAATAAGGTTGAAGGGAGCTAGAGACCTGAATTGCACTTTGACAGTCAACATGGAGACAAAGTTTGGAGTTTGCCCTACTGGTTTTGGTCTTGTTTTAGTTCAGTATGTCTTTGAAATGCTCCCTCTCCTCCCTTTGGTAATGTATATGCTGTGCCATTGTATGCTGCAAGTATGTGGTATGCTTTTTTTTTATTTTATAGGGGTTACAATTGAGAAATTGCATAAGTCTCAGAAAGACTTTAAACTGACTTTTAAACAATGTTGAGACTGTGATACACTATGGGGACTTTTGAAGTTGGACTAAATGCATTTTACATTATGATATACATCACATGACTGTATAGATTATGGTTCAAAGCTTCTGGGGACCAGGATTGGAATGCAGGGTTTGAATAAGAATGGCCCGCACAGGATTAGGAAGGGTGGCCCTGTTGGAGCAGATGTGGCTTTGTTGGAGGAAGTGTGTCACTGGGGATTGGCTTTGAGGTTTCAAAAGCTGAAGCCAGGCACAGTTGCACTCTCTTCCTGCTGCATATAGATCTGGATGTTGAACTCTCAGTTTTTTATCCGGTACCATGTCTGCCTGTGTGCTGCTGTGCTCCCTGCCATGATGGCCTGTGAAACTGTAAGCACTTGCTTACAAAATGCTTTCTTTTATAAGAGCTTCTGTGGTCATGGTATTTCTTCTCAGCAGTAGAACAGTGAAGAACACTGTTGGAAAGATTAAAAACACAGGGCAAATACCAGGTTAGTAGTAGAGTTGCTAAATAAATTGAGGTGAGCTCTTGCAATGGAATAGTCTTCTTCAGTAAAAAAATAACTTAAGTTCTGCTGTACATAGGCTTACATGGACACGTTTTAATCTCTAGGACATAAACACTTAAGGGCTGTGCAACAATGTTTTAAAATATGAGAAACTAATATATGTTATGCAACATTTGGATGCAAATGTTAATGATAAAACTAAAAAATCATCTGAAATTCTGGCAACAGTTCCAACGAGGGCTAGAATGAAAGAGATGTAGAATGGACTAAGATTGATTTTATTTTTTGTGACTTGAATGATGAGTGTTTTTTGCATTGCTTTTTTTATAACACACACACACACACATACAATATTCTTTTGTTTCTGTGTTTAATAGAAATAAAATAAGAGCCTTAATGCCTTAAATTATTTTTCTTTTGAAGATTGTCTTCAAATTATACCCTTGAATCATTGTCTCCACTGGAAACTTGTATCTCAGGTTAATTAAATATGTTGTCCCTACCCACCCACTCCCTCATGCATGATCTGCATAATGACAGTAGACTTTGGGGTTTCAGTGACAAACAGATTTTGTCAGGAAGCTTTCATGGCATTGCAGACCTAAGGTCTCAGAAGCATCTGCTTACTTACTTGTCCCTGTATGGCTTCTTCCAGACCAGGGCCATCCTTTAAGCAGATTCATGGCATTTCCAGCTGGATTCATAATCGCCGGCTATTAAAAACAGAGGGAAATGAAGAGTTGTCAAGTGTAAACTGTTGAAAGGGACTTTCTCAGATTTTGCAATTGTCTTATTTTACAGATTGATCAGCTGAAGCAGGAACTTTCCAAGAAGGAGTCAGAACTTCTTGCCTTACAAACCAAGCTTGAAACCCTTAGCAATCAAAATTCTGATTGCAAGCAGCACATTGAAGTGCTCAAAGAGTCACTTACTGCCAAAGAACAGAGGGCTGCCATCCTTCAGACAGAGGTAAGGTACTGCCTGGGGCTCTGGAGAGCTGGGACCCTTAGAACACGCATACACAGTGTTCTTCCTGAGAGGCGTTCTGTAGAAAACGTGTTCCCAAAACTGTTGGGGCCAGGTGTGTTTTAGAATTCACAGATGTTTGGATTTTTTTTTTAAGGTGAGACTTGGTGTGTCTATCATAGTTTGTGACCGCTCACTGAGGACCCAGACCAAACATGGGAAGACAGCCTCACATTCAAGTGGGATAAACAAAGATGAAGGCTGGAGTCATTGCCTTTTGTTGATGTGTGTTATGTTACACACCCAAGGAGTTTGTTTCACATTTAGAATTTTTTTTTTTAATTTTTCCATTCTTTAGAGAATTTTTTATTTCAAGACAAGATTTCTATGTGTAACAGCTCTGGCTGTCCTGGAACTCACTTTGTAGACGAGGCTGGCCTCAAGCTCACAGAGATCTGCCTGCCTCTGCCTTCAGAGTGCTGGGATTAAAGCTGTGTGCCAGCAAACCTGGCTTTAGAGCTTTTTGTTGTTGTTGCTGATTTGAGAATCATAAGGAATTGGATCTGGAATTATTATATTTGATCAAACTCATATTATGAGTATACTATTCCATATCTTACTTGATGACATTTGTAAAGGTGATTTCTTACTAACTGTCCCAATGAAGAAAGTTAGCACTGCACATTTCTTAAAGGAAATATTGATTTGTTATTTCCGACTCATACTTAGAGGAAAACAACAACAACAACAACAAACCACAATCACCCTCCACCCCCACCCCAACACACATACATTATTATCCTCATTTCTTGCTTCTGGTTAGATTATACATACAGGCAAAAACATATGCCAGTTGTTGTGTAAATAAAACAGCTGTCAAAAGCAATAGGAAATATAGGGAAGAGAGTGGTAACCAGGTTGACCTGTATGTTGGACTACTTTGGGAGAAGGCATCATAATTGGTATGTGTATCCTCAGGAGCTCTTTGCACCCTGTCTTTGTATATACAGACTGGAAGATGTGTAAGGGTATATACATTTGCCTTAGGAATTAGTAGGGTTGTTGAGTAGGTCTGTACCTCAGGTAAAGTTGCATAGGCATTTTTTTTTTCTAAAACATGGATTTTGAATAAATTGGAAGATGACATACATCTCATTTGAAGGGGCAGTAGTACAGTATTCAGAACTCTGCTAGTCAGTACTATGCCATCAGCCACATAAGGCTTTTTAAATTAAGTTTAACAAAATTTAAAATGTAGTGCTTTAGCTGAGCACAGTGGTACACACCCATAATCCTAGCACTCAGGGAGGCAGAAGCAGATGAAACTCTGTGAGTTCGAGGCTGGCCTGGTCTACAAAGTAAGTCCAGGGCAGCCAACGTTATGTAGAGAAATCCTGTCTCAAAACAAACAAACATCAAAGCAAACAACAAGCCCCCAAAACAAAAAAAGTAGCACTTTAGTCATAGTAACCACGTTTTCCACCTTCAGTAGTGTCATGTGGCTAAAGCTATCCACTAGACATTTCAGCCCTCTAACAGTTGTCTAGAACAGGGATTGACTGGATCCAAACCTGGCCCTTTGCTTGATTTTATGAAATATCATAACCTACCATGTCTATCTATCCATGTGTCTGCTTTCTTGCTATACTGGTGGAGTTGGGCAATTGTCACAGAGCTGAGGTTATTTGCTGTCTCACCTTCTGTGGACAATAACTGCCAACACGTGCAGTGTGACTGTTGTGAAGCAGGTCAGATGAGCAGGTCACACGAGCAGGTCAGATGAGCAGGCCACACGAGCAGGTCACATGAGCAGGCCTTGCAGTGTTCCGCCAGGGCTCTTTCTTGTTTCCTCATTGTACACAGGCCAGGTAGTTTCCTGACTCCTATCCAAAAGCACAACCTTTACTTTACAAAGCACCTTTTTATACCCGTATTTTGTCTTACGGTTATTGTAATTATTACTGTGAGTTGGGTGGGAGGAAATGATGATCGAGGCAGTCTGCTTGCCCAAACAGGCACCCGGGTTCCCCGACATTCCTCTTCAGAGGGCGAGTGAGAAGAGCCAGCTCAGAAGGACGCTCCTTTTACGGTCTTACACTGATGCCTGCAGTTGTCTGCGTCCCGGTCCTTTATTTCGCTTATTTCAAGTTAACACAGTTTAAGTTAGGCCCATATATATTTCATGAAAAAGACAGAGGTGCCATTATGTGGACAGCTCCTGTCCCATGTTCAGTAATTAAATGGCCCAGTGGAGAGATGGTGCTTTGAAGTAGAAATGAAGTCACTCTGTGTGAGGACAATGAGATGGTGTTTCTACACTCTTGCTTTGAAGTTGAGAGTGTGACATTAATAAGTGTATCAGCTGAAACATCCAAGGAATCTTCTTTTGCCTTTTTTTCTTCTATTGAGATTGTCATGTATATTCAGAGGAACAAGTTATCTAATGACGTCTGTCTCTTGAAGAAAGCAGTTTAGTTGAAATTAGCTCTAATTGTTGGATCATAGGGAAAGGCTCTCTAACAGCAGGGTTGAATACATGAAAGCGCTGCGTTCTCTCATTGGCTCAGAAGCAAAACCACAGTCTCCCTATCTCATGAGTCATTGCTTAGCGGGAGGGTGGCTGTTCAATGAGATATGATGCATTCGTTACGTCCTACACTGAAAAGACGCGAGTTAAAACACCCGAGGGATGTGGAGCTTACTCTCAGAAGAGGTGACACAAAACAGTTGCTTCAGTTTGGTTTCTGGCTCGTTCCGAAGGCTCTTGCCAGAGCAGGAGAAAAGGTCTCATTGGCCTCTTTGGGACATCTATGCTGCCAGCAGGCTTTAGCCATATGTCAGTGACACAATATAAATGATAGCTGTCCCTGGTCCTGTCTTGAGAACACAGTGTCAAATGGCATCTGAACTGGCATAGTAGTTCCTCTCTGAAAAGAACGTTCTGCAACCAGGACCTTTGTGTTTGGGAGGTGGCAGGATGGAGGGTGGGGTGAGAGGTGGAGGCAAGTTGTCTGGGTTTGTGGCTCTGTGGCTTGACTCTTTGGTTGGTTGGTTTTAACTTGTACAAATACTCGGGCTCTTTTTGACGTGTGTACTATAAATCAGTGGAATAATAATTACACACACGCAGAGATACACCACATGCCTCCTAACATAACATTTTACTTTTAAAAATAGCATCAAAGGACCCCACAGCCACGTTTCTTATTTTGCTATTTCCGGTACTTGCCCCGTCCAGAGTCATGCACTGTGCAGCAGTTGGGGGACTAGCGAAGTGGCTTGTGTTCTTTCTTGATTTTTCTTACTTATTTTTGTTTATATACTTACATTTATGTACTATATAATATATTTCTATTTATCAATGTAGCCACAAAACAGGAAGGATCAAGTCCTAGCATTTATTTCGGTTGGAATTAAAATGTGTTTTAAAATGAAGCAACAAACACTGTTTGGAAGTGGGAGGTATGTGAGTACGCATGGATCTCCCTGTTAACACATGCATGTATGGGGAAGGTCTGAATACAAAATTCAGGGAAGTGCTTTCCTTGCTTGTAGTAAAATGTTCAAACTGCAAGTTGAGTTTCCTATATTGCTGCTGTTGTTATTAGTGTTGGCGCTGTTCACTGTTAGGATGCTTGAACAAGTAAAATTATTTCTCATCTATTCTGTCTTAACCTTGGGAGTTTCATTTGCAACTTTAGCCTGTGTGTTTATAGACCCTAGATTTTCTCTGTTCAATCTAGTCACCTTTTTGTGTCTTAAATTGAAACAGAGACATAAAAGTACTACACAAGTGACCACTGGTCCTTTTCTCAAATTAAGATTTTTGTTTTTGCTCTTTAGGAGAAAATCCTCCTCACCTTCTCAGCATGATTGCCAAACCACTAGTCCTAGTCATGGCAATTCTTATGCCTACTTTCTAGAAGATATGTTATAGTCCACAAAGTGTTAAAGTTGTTTGTTTTTTTTTTTTACTGATTTATGTCGCACATTGGTCAAGGAGGTGATGTGTTGTCTAATAACTTGTTAGCTAACAGAATGTAGGGGTTTCATATTCCAATAGGTAGGAGCAAAACATGCTGGGTAGGGTGGTGGGCCCCATAGCAAAGGTCTGTAGCTTTTCTTTTTAAAATGTAGTCAATATGATGAGAACATTATACAACCTGTAGACCTTCTTTCCAGAAAAATTTCTCTTGGCAAAGACATACCTATGCTCACATGCACTGTTATTTAGAAGTTCAGGTAGCTTGTAGATGTTCCAAAGTTCTTCTAAGATTAATGACTTCTCTATGGATGTCACGCACATATTTAGTTAACACATATTTTTGTGCCATATGGCACAAACATTGTTCATGTGTCATTGTAAGACTTAACTGCCCTTGTCAGGCACACACTCTATTCAGCACATGGGTATATGCTGCAGAACTGGTTTACAGAGCCCTGAACTCCTGGCGATTTCATTACCACTGGCTACCAGTAACCCTACATGGACTCCTAGTTAGACTTCATCTTCTTTCTGTTGTCTAAGAGCAGATATGTAAAGGAAGAAAAGAAAGCGGAAATAAATACATAAATAACTAGCTCCTTAAAAGGTTAAGGTATGAAAACTATTCGAACCGTCCACTTACATGTACTATAACTGAAGCTAATGTTGGCAAGGTCTCTGAAAACCCTGTTCTGCCTGTCTCGCCTCCTTGAGGAAAGGTATATTGCACATGAAGGTGCAGACTCCTGGCCTCAGCACAGCAGGAGTTTACTGCACATGCCTAGGCAGGCCGCATACGGCTGTGTGCCTCACTCAGACCTTCCTTCAACTTGTAACATAAAACAATGGTATCATCTGAGGGTGCTTCATTGAGGGTCTCTAGTGTTCAAGGTGCTCATCAATAGGGAAAACTCATAATTTCAGGAGTTTCTGCTCTTGATCTTTCCCATATTTGTTCCATTTCCAAAATGTCTGGATAGTGTTGTGTGGCTGCCAAAATGAGTTCTAGAAACTGTGG